CCTAACGCTAATCCTAACATTAACCCAAATCCTAAAACTAATCATAACCCTAACCCTAAACTTAACCCTAATCCTAACCCTAAACTTAACCCTAAGCCCAACGCTAATCCCAAGTTCTAACCCTAACCCTAGCTCTAGCCCTAGTCCTAACCTTAACCCTAGCCCTAACCCTAACTCTAACCCTAACCCTAACCCTAACCCTAGCCCTAACTATAACCTAACCCTAATCCTAATCCTAATCCTAACCCTAACCGTAACACTAATCCCAACCATAATCCTAACCCTAACCCAAGACAATCCTAACCCTAATCCTAACCCTAGCCCTAATCTTAACCTAATCCCAACTTTAATCCTAATCCTCTCTAACCCTAGCTCTAACCCTAACCCTCGCTAGTCATATTTGATTTTCCGGAGCTTTATAGTTTATTTTTCATATCTAGTCATTCCGTTGAGTCAAAGTTTGGAATGCAGTCTCCAATGGATGAAAAGAGGAACTCTCTATCACCGTGTTTCTATGTTGTAAGGTTGACAAATTAAAAAAAAAGAAACGATATAGGATTTGTATTGAACACCGGGTTGAATATATTTCAGAGAATGTTTTATGTCTCTAAGTCATTATCTTCACAGTTAAGACGATCATTTTTTCAGCTCGCAGCCATTTAGAAATCTTTACAATACACTGACACTTGTTGAAATTCTCACAGAATTTTCTATTCTTGAAGTTTTCACTGACATTTTTTTTTGTCGAGTTTTACAATCTCTACATTTAGTTTTTGATTTCGCAAACCAATCGATGATTTTAATAAGCTGATTTTTTTTTGGGGGGGGGATACTTTGACAAAATCACTTTGCAGTTTAATAATTTCTTAATTTAATTTTATAGGAATCATAATAAACCTTATTTTTTTTTAGAAAATTTCTTCTTGTTCACTTTTAATAGCAAAGTAGAAATTCTTAGGATTTTTTACTCTTGAGCATGCAACGTAAATCTGGTTATGCGTAAATATTTTTTTTTCCTTTTTACCAAATTTCAACTATTTGAAGCGTTTGGCCTCGTGATTTGTTTATAATTCTCGCAAAATTAGAGCGAACTGGAAACTGGATGCTTGCATATATAAAAACTTAAAGGAAAGATATGCAAACAACAATATTGCATTTTTATTAAATAAGTATTTGTCATTTTAATAATTAAGTTGATTTTAAAGTAGTGAGAGTATTTTGTATGTTAAATAAAAAACTTTTAATTTTTCCCAAAAGAATTAATGACACTTTATTGAACTGAACTATGCACCCTAGTAAAACCAACTGTACTTTGTATCCCCTTATATGATTGAACTTTTCCCCCGAATTTAGTTTCAATGGATCAATATATGGCTTTTTTAGTGGGTATGACGAACTGACTAACAGAAGTCACAGAATTTTATATATAGATTCTTTGATTTTCCAACTTTGTTACCATTTCGCTCCCATGAATTTCGAAGTCTCGCAGATCGTATGACACTTACGATCTTTTGTGAAGGTCATGTGAACTCATCATTCGTTGTTCAGACGATTCCTAAAATTAACATTATTTTACAATTTTATTTGAAGAAAAAACAGACATTTAAATAGATATGGAAGATCAATTACTTTTTATTCTTACTTTTAAAAGAATTATTAAAATTTAATTTTTTACTTTTTTATTTTATCTAAAACAGAAGCGCAACTAACGTTGGAATTGTTATTTACTCAAAACATCTGTTTGGCACAAGGATGAGACACCCAGTCGGGATTGAACTCACAACTAATTATTAATGGTCAACACACTAGCTCACTAACCATTACCACAAGCATTAATAGTTATCTACTAAGCTTCGCTTAGTTTGGCGCAAGGTTACAAGTATGGAGCACCCAGTGAGGACTGAACTTATTACTCGAAAATGATGGTCAATCAAGCTAATTCATAAAACATTACTTCATGTTGAGGTGTCCTCCCGGATAGTGCAAGATCTTCTTCTTCTACGTTAAGTGTCCCTTCAAGATGTAGGCGATCATGGCCTTCCACAACTTCCTGTAACTTGTAGCTATTAATAAGTTTTCTTCTTTCACACCTGTTCTACCATCCATTTACTCAAGCCCAAGTAACAAGTATTCATTTAGCTCTAGGCAAGGTAGAAAATAAATAGGAATATTTCTAAAATCAATTTGAACGAATTTCCTTTGTTTATGTAAGGCATAAAATGTTGAAATCCAAAGTAATAAACAGCTTCAGAAAAAAAAAATGAGAATTTTAGATTTACACGAGCCGATCTTGTTAAACATCATTGAATTCATAGGATTTTCAAAGAACAGTTTTCGGCTGCTTACCGCTTTATGTGCAAAGAAATATTAAGTCTGTTAAGAAAATAATGTCGTACTTTTGGTAACGGAATATTAAACATTTTTAAATGTAAAGAAACATTTTAATTCATTTGTCGAGAACATTATCACCCTTAATAGCAATGTCAAGTGCCCAACTCGAAATTATTTCTTAACTTCCTTTTTCAATGAATCTAGGATATCGAATAATATCCAAATCAAAACAAACCATGTACAGAATCAGTGAAATATAGTTGGTCTCTTAAAAAAGCAGGAAGTTATTTAAATAGTTTTTTTTTATTAAAATATTTATCGAAAATGGAGATTTGCGTGAAAATGTCCTGATTTTACCAACATAATTTTTTGTATTTTTTCTGAAAGACTAGTAAAAAGAATTCTGTAGAAGACGAAGATCTTAGCTAAGAATATTTTATCGTATCATCCTAAATCCTAAATCCTAAATCCACCAGCTTCGTTCCCTAATATTCTTTTTTTAGAAGTTAGTAATATATCTTAAAAAACTAAAAAAGATATCAATTTCGCATAATGAAAATTCTTTCCGTCCAAAATCCAAGAGTCTTTAGCAAGGAATAAATAAAATTGGTTCTATCATGAGATTTCACTACTGGCAATAATAATCGTTATTGACAAGTGTATTTAAGATTTTCAAATTTTAAACAGACTTATTTCCTCCGAATGAATGAAAAATTACTTTCCTTTCACTTATCATCTCTATGCCTATATACAACACAAGCCTGTTTTTGCCATCGCATTAATTTTAAGGCCTCAGATAAACCTCAAACGCAAATCTAACCCTTGGTTTTTGTTGTCTAAGCACAATTGGGAAACATTGCTTCGTCGATTCCGACCTCCAATTAATTTTATTTATTATGAAACATGAACAATTGTCTTGGAATTCTTTATGAGTAATTGATGGAATATAGTAGATATGGTCGATTACGTGCTCCCCAAAATAAAGGAAAAAAATTCCCAACAAAATTGTTTTTTTATGAAGAACCAACAGAAATAAAGATTCTGCTAAAAGATTTTCTGATTTTATCTACAGGAATTTTAACATTTTTTAGATTTTGACAATTGAAGTTTTATTCACTAGAATAAACTCAGGCGGTCAAATTTTTTGGTAAGATGTATTTTACTATTTTAGTATTTTATTATTTTAGTATTTTAGTATTTTCCTAATGTCGGTTTATTGCATTAACTTTTCTGTTTAATCAAATCACTGGAAAACTTTCCCAATAAAAAAAATAGAGAAGAGATTAATTTAGGACAATTAAAATTATTTCTGTCTAGAATCCCGTTGTAAGGATACGGAAGGCGCTTATCTCCCTTTGGTCGAGCTAAGTCACGTGGGTAACATGACGGTCGCTCAATGACCTCACTTCATAGAGTGACTTAAGCGGCAGTCAATCTTCAGTTCGTTTTATAACATCAAACCGAAAGGTTACTTTCTTTTTAGCCTGGGATAAACCTGTCTCCCCCTGCAGTTTACAAGTCTATGGTGATGTTTCCCGTTTGAAACTGGAGTCCTAAACATGTCTTCTCCAGAGACAGGAATATCGACATATTATATGTAAGACCCTTCATTTTTGTTTCTCTTTACACTCTGCTTTGCTGTGTAGATATATGCGATTTATTATTCTCCACGTAGGACATGTGCATATATATATATATATATGTATATATATATATATATATATATATATATATATATATATATATATATATATATATGTATATATATATAGATTTGTGTACGTCTTAGTGATATAAAATCTCTCAAAGAACAAAGCATGTTTGTCATTCCTTTTCATTTTAGCTGTTCCGTAAGGGCCGTGAACTACGGTGTTATTGTATCACAAATATAGTAATGCCCATAACGTGGGAAATACAAATGGAGAATAAAACTTTCGACCATAGCTTTCCTTTTTATTACACCATCTTCTTATAACAAGGAAGAAAAAAAAAGGTTTTATCTGGAGATTTCGCCGTTGCTAAATATAACGCTTGTGCTCTTGACAAATATCTATCTATCTATCTATCTATCTATCTATCTCTCTCTCTCTATATATATATATATATATATATATATATATATATATATATATATATATATATATAAAACTCCGATATTTAAACAGGTAAATTGATTGAATAAAATAATATTGCTGTTTCTCCGCACCCAGTGTTACATATCCGATTTTAGCGAAGAAACTTGATTTATTTAATATTAATGTTGATTGCCCAAAATAATTATTGCTTTCAACTTGCCCGCCATTTTTCATTTTAAAAACAAGCGCGGTCAAATCAAAGTATTTAAGTCTGCCGAGAATCAATAATTAAAACTGAATTCAAGAAAACAGACGATACGTAAATATTGCCGTTGGGGAGAGAATTCCTCACTTATGAAGATCTAATTTATAATGATGTTCATGGCTCTCTTTTTTTTTTTTTTCGTAGCAAATATAAGAATATATTGATGAGATATCAATTTTTAATTCAAGTAAATTTCCGCCAATTTATGATTTTCTCTCGTTTAATTTTGTAAATGGAACTCACTCCAGTGCTAAGCAAAATTGAGAATTTGTTTGAAGTGACGGTAATTTAACTTTTATTACTTTATGAAAAAGAGCGAGGTGTAAATATTAGGGTGATGCCGGGGAGTGAGATTTAATTAGAAAGAGATGACGAGAGAGACTTAGGCAGGAAAAAAAAAGGGACACAAAGAAAGAAAGAAAGACGGAAGCAATGAAAAAAGAGAGATAGAGATTAAAGAAAGAAAGAAAGAAAGAAAGAAAGAAAGAAAGAAAGAAAGAAAGAAAGAAAGAGTAGTAATGAAAGAAAAAAGAAAGATAAACATATGGGAGAAAGAAAGGAAGGTGAACGCAAAGACAGAGAAAAAGAGATACAAATGATAGCAAATAAGAAAGAAAGAAGCAATGAAAAAGAGAGCGATATAGATTGAAGAAAAAGAAAGAAAGAGAGAGAGAAGTAACGAAAAAGAAATATAATGGAGAAAGAAAGAATAAAGAAATATACACTACCCTCTCAAAGTTTAAGATCACTTACAAAATTATGTTTCAACGTCGACTTTTATGTTCAATTTTATAAATATAGATAACTTGAAGGTAAAATTACAAGAAATAACTCTTTGCACAAGATTTGGGTATATTCAATATGAAATAACATTTTTTTTATTACAGTACCTAACTTACCCGGCAATCTGAGTGTGAGGAGATTGACTCTAAATTGTTTTAAAGCTTTCTATTTTGCAACAACGGAGTCCAGAGTCACTATTGCGTTGTCAGATGAAGAAACACTACGAAATATATGCTTCATAATCAGTATTATGTGTTTTAAGTTCAATTATTTAAAAAAAAATAATCATTTCGATTTTGCAGATTCAATCTTAATATGGGCAAGAAATGTAATTTGTTACCTGAGAAGAGGCAAATCATCGTCACATTTCGTCATAAAGACTATAGTTTCCGAGATAAAGCCTAAAAAGTTAGTTTCATATTTCCTCTTCTTTTGTGAAAAATGTAGAAACAGGTAAAAATAACGAAAGACAGCGGCCAGGTCGATCCATTTCCAAATCACAAGATAAGTTCATCAGAATCACTATTCTTCGAAACATGAATCTGACAGTCCCTTAAACTGCTGCGCAAGTAAGTGAAGCCGACGGAGCTAATGTGTCTGCATCAACAGTTAAAAGAAGAATCACTGCAGCGGGTTTAAATGGCCGCCGTGCTACCAAGAAACCGCTGCTTAAACAGGCAAATAAACGTAAGCGAAACATATAGGCGAAAAAAAAACATCAAAACTGGAACTGTCAATCAATGGAAACAAGTCCTCTGGAATGACGAATACAAGTTTGAGATCTTCGGATCTCGGAAACGAGTGCATGTGAAGCAAAGAACTAGTGAACAAATTTATTACTGCTTGCATTGTGCCAACTGTAGAGCATAATAGAGGAAATGCGATGATCTGGGGTTGTTTTGCAGGCAATACACTTGGCGATATTTATTGGGTGCCAGGAATATTGAATCAACATGGATATCACTCTAGGCCTACAGCGCCACACCATTCCATCTGCGACATGGCTGATCAGTGATAGATTTGTGCTTATGCAAGATAATGAACGGAAATATACCTCTAAGCTACGTAAAAAAACTATTTGCAAAAGAAAACTGAAGAAAATAAATTGACTGTCGTGGAATGGTCACCCCAATCACCTGACAGAAACTCTATAGAATTAGTTTGGGATGAATTGGGCCGCAGAATCAAAAAGCGACTACCAAGTAGTGCAGAAACCTTGTGGACATTATTTAAAGAGGAATGGTAAAATATTACAAATGAATATTTGCTTTCATTGGTCGAAAATATACTCAGCAGTTATCAAGGTGAAGGGTGACTATTTTCATAAATCTTATATTTAGCATTTTTCATATTTTTGTTTTGTTACAAAGTAAAAATATGTTACGTAATGAATTTAATTTTTCATTTCATAAAAGTTTACCTAAAAATTCTGAGTTATTTTCTTTCTATAGAGTTTTTTTTTTTTTTTTTAATGTGAGGTGATATTAAACTTTTGGAGGGTAGTAGAGAAGAAAGAAAGAAAGAAAGAAAGAAAGAAAGAAAGAAAGAAAGAAAGAAAGAAAGAAAATGAAAAGATAGAAGAAAGAAAGAAGAAATAAAAAAGAGACAAAAGAAAGAAAGAAAGAAAGAAAGAAAGAAAGAAAAGAAAAAGATAAACGAAAGAAAGAAAGAAAGAAAAAAGAAAGAAAGAAAGAAATGAAAAAGAAAGAAAGAAAGAAAAATACATATATGAGAGAAAGAAACAACGAAACAATAAAAAAGTGATATAGATGAAAGACGGAAATAGATAAAAAAGAAACAATGAAAGAAAAGAAAGAGATACAAAAGAAAGAAAGAAAGAAAGAAAGAAAGAAAGAAAGACTACATCTACAGGAGAAAGAAAGAACGAAACAATAAAAAAGTGATATGGATGAATGAAGGAAAGAGATAAAAAAGAAAAAAAGAAATGAAATGAAAAAGATAGAAGAAAGAAAGAAGAAATGAAAAAGAGACAAAAGAAAGAAAGAAAGAAAGAAAGAAAAAAGAAAGAAAAAATGAAAAAGATAGAGAGACAAAAGAAAGAAAGAAAGAAAAGAAAAGAAAAGGATAAACGAAAGAAAGAAAGAAAAAAGAAAGAAAGAAAGAAGAAATGAAAAAGATAGAGAGACAAAAGAAAGAAAGAAATGAAAAGATAGAGAGACAAAAGAAAGAAACAAAGAAAGAAAGAAAGAAATGAAAAATATAGAATAAAGAAAGAAAGAAATGAAAAAGATAAACGAAAGAAAGAAAGAAAGAAATGAAAAAGAAAGAAAGAAAAATACATATATGAGAGAAAGAAACAACGAAACAATAAAAAAAGTGATATAGGTGAAAGACGGAAAGAGATAAAAGAGAAAGAAAGAAGGAATGAAAATGATAGAGAAACGAAAGAAAGAAAGAAAAATGTGAGATATATATATGGGGAAAAAAGAAAGAAACAAACAAACAAAATGATATTGGAGAAAGAAAGAAGGAAAGAAATAAGGACGCAATGAGAATAGAGAGAGAGAGAGAGAGAGACATGAAAGGAATAAAGGAAGAGTTACAGATGGAAGCAAAGAAAGGAAAATGTGAAAGATGAAAGTAAATAAATAAATAGCGGAGCAATGAGAGAGAGAGAGAAAAAGAGAGAAAGAAAAAGAGAAAGAAAAAGAGAGAGAGAAAAAGAGAGAAAGAAAAAGAGAAAGAAAAAGAGAGAGAGAAAAAGAGAGAGAAAAAGAGAAAGAAAAAGAGAGAGAGAAAGAGAGAGAGAGAAAAAGAGAAAGAAAAAGAGAGAGAGAAAAAGAGAGAAAGAAAAGAGAAAGAAAAAAGAGAGAGAAAAAAGAGAAAGAAAAGAGAAAAGGAAAAGAGAGAGAGAAAAGAGAGAAAGAAAAGAGAGAGAAAAGAGAGAAAGAGAAAGAAAAGAGAAAGAAAAAGAGAGAGAGAAAAGAGAGAAAGAAAAAAGAGAAAGGAAAAGAGAGAGAGAAAAGAGAGAAAGAAAAGAGAAAGAAAAAGAGAGAGAGAAAAGAGAGAAAGAAAAAGAGAAAGGAAAAGAGAGAGAGAAAAAGAGAGAAAGAAAAAGAGAAAGAAAAAGAGAGAGAGAAAAAGAGAAAGAAAAAGAGAAAGAAAAAGAGAGAGAGAAAAAGAGAGAAAGAAAAAGAGAAAGAAAAAGACAGAGAGAAAAAGAGAGAAAGAAAAAGAGAGAGAGAAAAAGAGAGAAAGAAAAAGAGAAAGGAAAAGAGAGAGAGAAAAAGAGAGAAAGAAAAAGAGAAAGAAAAAGAGAGAGAGAAAAGGAGAGAAAGAAAAAGAGAAAGAAAAAGAGAGAGAGAAAAATAGAGAAAGAAAAAGAGAAAGAAAAAGAGAGAGAGAGAAAAAGAGAGAGAGAGATCTAAGAAAGAAAGTAAAAAGAAAGAGATAAATTAAGAGAGAAGGAGATAAAACAAAAAAAAAGAACGTTTAGGAGACGAGAAAGAGTAAAATGCAGTGCAAGAAATCAAGAAAAAAAGTTGATATTATCTGAGCAACAGTAAGAAAGAGAATTCCTTAAACATTCTCGTTGTCCACATGCCATTTCCAAATCACAAGATAAGTTCATCAGAATCACTATTCTTCGAAACATGAGTCTGACAGTCCCTTAAACTGCTGCGCAAGTAAGTAAAATGAAAGAGAAAAAGAAAAAAAAGAGAGAAGGAGAAATGAAATAGCACAAAAAGGGGTAAAGAATTCTTTTTTTCTAATCATGTATTTTGGATCTCACCTTGACAACCCCCAAATCCACGTTAAAAGGAAAATAACCTAAAGGAACTTGCCTCACCTTGACATAACTCAACGTTAGAAGATAACCTCAATCAACTAACCTGTTACATTTCTGTCACCAGGTCAATATTAATAAATGTTTTTCTTACTGATTTCATCGGTACCCTTTCGTTTGACTTTAATAAAATACTCGACTTTATAAACTATATGAAGTATACGTGGACTCTTTTTTTTCTAATATGTATATGATAAAATATAGGTTTAGGGGTTGCTATATTTATGTGTTAAAGTGCTCAATATTTAGGACAGAGTATATGTAATATAAGTAAACATAGAAGTGGACATTGAAGCCAACACTAATGGCAACAGTCTGATATATGAGAAACCTGCTATATGGCAATGGATGTTACCTAATGCGCTTATAAAAGACTTTCTGAGCCTTTTAAGCAACGGCACACCTAGGAACATTTATCGTCCACGATAGAAGAGTCCACCATATACATATATATATATATATATATATAGATAGATAGATAGATAGATAGAAATCACTGAGGTAGATATTAACAGATTGAGAAAGAAGATGAATATGATAATACTAAAATATGTCGATAGATATCATACGAAAACCAGAGACCAGATATGCTATTAATTAGGATGTTCTAAAATGCGAAATATGATTTCCCAGATATCTCCCTATATTTCTGAGATGAGGTATCGTGACTATTGAGTTGTCCTCATCTTTATTGCTATATTCACGACGTTTCAGTCGTTATATGCCCCGGCCTTCTTCAGGTGATAGCACTTCGTTTTTTACACTTTTCACTTGTGGAATTTTCTTCCGACTTCTTGATTTCTTTCCAGTCAACGTTGATCTTCAAAAATTTAAAGGCAATGTCAGTTTGTTATCTACTGTCATCTTTTATAGTTCGCATCTTAATAATTTTTATCTTTTTCTGTTATTACATCACACTTAATAACCCCCGAGTCTTTGCGGCTTTATTGCCTTTCTTGGGGTGAAATGATGAAAAAGATATTATTCCGCAACATGAATTAAAAAGCATCTTCCTTCTTCCCTTGATTTTTTTTTATTCTTGTAAGCCACAAATGGTAAACAAGTGCTTATTTGCATTCGAAGAAAATGTAGAAATGGGCAATTGTACCTCACAAAGAAAGATTGGCGGCTCAACATAGAGAGAATAGAATATTTAAGCGCTGATATAATACTGACTCTGAATTTTTGCACATTGTATCTCGTAACTATGAATAAATATACATAGGATTTACTTACAATATCTCGATATTTGCATATATATATATATATACACATAAATGACGAGAATACATCTCGGATAATAAGTGTGACATTACTGTAATTATTGAACAATATAGTTCAATCCATATTCACGGAAAATCTACCAGTAAAAAAGAACTCTCTTATTGCTATATTTCTACAAAAACGCACAACGTTAAAATTTAAATTCAAACTCAGCGTTGCGACTGCACGTTCCAAAACAATAACACATTTCTCATAGCATTTTTTCGGATTACACCTCTATTTTCGTTGTCCTCTTATTACTGAGAAGTAAAAACAAGAACACAATCTATTCCCATACCTGAGGATGTCTGTAGGAACAGACGAAAGCTTGTAAAAATTAAAAAGACCTTATGCAACTTGAATTTATAAACAGGGATCATATCATTCATATACAGGTTCGGGGTTGGTGTATCTTATTTATATTGTTTGCGAAGATGTATTCCCGCCATTTAAATCATTAACCTTTATATTTGTTTTTTGTATGAATGATTCATGAATTTGTAAATTATATTTGCACCTTTTAATTGAAATATATATATATATATATACCCAAGTATAGCATTGGTGTATACGGAATAAATTCCAATAACCAACAAATACTATTCCTAAAAGAGTGCTCAATAGGAAGAGTAGAGCAAATATAAACATTTATTCGAAAATTATAACATAATAATATTATAAAATCACTACAAAAATAGCCATTTTCTTTCAACACTTTTGAGAAGACACCAGAAGTGTTGAAACAAAATGGCTTTTTGTAGTGATTTTATAACATTTTTATGTTATAATTTATGAATAAATGATTATATATATATATATATATATATATATATATATATATATATATATATATATATATATGAAGAAATATAGTCTTAAAGAGGTGCTATATTTATGGGATAAAGTGCTCCATAAAAGTGAACATAGAAGTCAACACTTAGAGGCGACAGTCTGTTTCATGCTAGACGCAATCGTCATGCCACGAGTGCAGTTATTTTTCTCGGCTATTTATATATACGGGTCAGTGGTGCATTGTGGGTAGTCTATTTTTTGGCCGACTGACCCGTATATATAAATAGCCGAGAAAAAATAACAGCACTCGTGGCCTGACGATTGCGTCTAGCATGAAACAGACTGTCATCTCTAAGTGTTGACTTTATAAAACACTTTTGATATATATATATATATATATATATATATATATATATATATATATATATATATATATATATATATATATATATATGATATTCAGGGTCTACTCAAAACATTTTCTTCTACATAAAGGTAGACCAGTTGCCATCCAAGTCTATAGAACCCAGTTTGTCATGTTATTTACCCACAGCTGGGGGGAGAAGAAAAGGATTCATACCTTTCCCAAGAGTATTAGCATTTATGTGAAAGTAATTTGAACTCGGCTCTCCGATTCCTCAATACAAGCTGCTATCCCTTACTCCACCGTGAAAATTAAAAATCTTTGTAGAAAATTTTAGAAATTTGTTAGAAATAAGCGCTCACTATTGAGAAAATAAAAATAAAAGTCATATTTAAAAAAAAAAAACTATAAACACAATTGACTTTAAAATGGAAGCTACAATTTTCATGCCGAAACGGTGATCATCTGGTAATAAAAAGCAATGGTGTCAGCATTTTGTTTCATATAAATACTCAAAGACACAGTTCTCACCAATAATATTATTGACTGACCAGGAAGCAAATAGCATAACAGATAGTTATGTTTATAACTCTAGTGGGAGATTATCTATCATTTCAATTTAACAATCCGCTTTTAACTCAGGGAAGGCAATAATAAATGGTGTCCATAAAGTTCGTATGTACTTTAAAAAATGTATAACTTTATTTGTATTTGCAATAGAAATAATCTGTAAAAAAATATTAGAAAATTTAATGTACCTAGTTTTAAGTATAGCTAAAATAATTAATGTGATTTCAGGCATTATTGTAAATCAGTTGGCAAATGTTTTCTGTGAACTGCAAAATCGTATTACCCTTTGTATTGCTAATGATGGAGCACATGTGGAAACTTAAATAAAATTTCAATAAAACCTTAAAAAATATAGATTTACTTCTTTCTAATCCTTTTTACAAATTATTTCTACCGCAAATACAAATAAAGTTATAATTTTTTTAAATTGCACACGAACCTTATGGACGCCCTGTATAAGATTTCTCCTCCAAACACAAATTACATCTTCTGCAACCTTTTATACAAGCAAACGAATATTTTATAAGAATTTCCACTTCACCTCAGTCCTTTTCGAAAAAAGCGAAGTTTGAATCGACGTCGAACCGTAATTTTGACTTCGTTTCACTTCCCTCTTATGCCTTTCAGAAAGGCATGCTTCTATCTTCCTTCAGGTATGAGTTAAATAGTAGGATAAGCTGGGCTCTGTTGAATTAGGTTAGAAACATCGTGAGGAGAAATGGACTCTAGACACAAGATCTGTTACCTCAACATAGGTTCTGGGGCCATCATCTTTATCCTATATGTATTTCGAAAGTACTGTGCTGTCTTCAAAGCATCTTCTCTGAAATGAAATCTCTACTTCCAGTTCCTCAACAACTTCAATGACATCATATCAGGCCCGCTAGATGCCTTCACAGTGACTTGGCCTACGACATTCTATGTCAAATATTCATCTTCGAAAGGGCAATTTTCTTACCTTGACGGTTAGAATTATAACTCTCATTACACGCCTTCAAGAACTTATAATTGTTCTTTTTCACCAACTGAAGCATGTTATCCATGCAACAATGACTGACATTGATAGTTTTCCGATAATATTTAGGATTCTTATCAATTGAATTGATAAATCTATTTCCCATTCCCGCTTTCACCTTTACGAGAGATTAAATCAAATTTTATTTCGTTCTCTATGGAAATTCACCGTTGAGCAGTGTTGCGTGTAACTCATATAATCAATTATTTGAAATCATTTTACCCCAAGCGAAGTAATAAAACCACTAAGATGCAACGCAGTGATTGAGAAAGAAAGAATATGAAAAAAAATAAAAATATGATTAAAGAGAGAGAATAATAAAAGAACAGAAATTAAAAAGATGAAAGGTAACAAGTGCTTTTGTATTTCATTTTTCATAGATCAAACTTGACTGGAAAACAAGAGACAAGCAAGTGCGCAAGAAGAAACCATTAGCATAGAACTTGCGGTTTCATCTAGCTATTTCAACTGTAAAATGACGAGACCTAACTTCCAATCAATACTGAACTTAAATTAGCAAAATCAAGTTACCAAAAGGAATTGTCCTGAGTATGACGATAAACTACATCCGGCAGCAAGGGTTTTGGGGGTTTTGAGGGGGCGTGGAACCCCCTCTTAATTGCTGTTGTTCCTACGTCCACCTTCACCTGTGGTGGTAGCACCCGTTAGGGTTCCAGCTATGGAAAAATAGTTGACCCCCAAACTCGGGTCAAAACACAATGGAAGTGTAAAAATAGGATTTTATAGTAAAAAATACCAGCAGTACATTTTTGAGAAAATTACCAGCTATACTTCTTTGGAAAAATACTACCAGCAGTATATTTGACTTTCGACAAAAATCCTCTTTACAAAAATACTTCAATCAAAACTGATCTACAAACTGATTTCTTATAAAGAATACATATTCTATTCATACGAACCTATCC